CACTCGCCCGGACACACGCCTGCCGCCTGCCCCCTGCGCTTACGCATTCGCCCGGACACACGCCTGCCGCCTGCCCCCTGCGCTTACACACTCGCCCGGACACACGCCTGCCGCCTGTCCCCTGCGCTCACACATTCGCCACACGAGGCCTGGACTCCACTCTCGCCCTCTGCAGCCTCTCCCGGCCGCCAAACTGCTGCGGGCTGCCCCTCTGCCATCGCCTCTCGCCCTCCGCCCACACCTCCTCCTGCTGCTGCTGCTGCTGCTGGTCTCAGCCTGCTCGGCAAAGCAAGGAGCTGCTCCTTGACAGCATCGCTGCTGGCACCTCACAAAGCAGCTGCACTCTCAGGCACACAGAGCCTCCTTCATCGAGTGCTGTCACCTCGGCAGGCCATGGCATGAGAGGGATTTGCAGCCGGGCTTTCGGAGGTGACAAAGGAATCTCCATCATCTCGGTCCCGCCAGAAACCTCTCTCTTCCATCCTGCAAGGTGCACAACAAGCAGCACATTCTCACACGGATGCCTAAGGCAGATGTCCTTTCAATTCCACCCGAGGCTGCAATTCACTGCTCTACACTTTCTTCTTATCCTCACCTGTCCGCAAACACCCCTGGATGTGCATTCAGCATCTCCCTTAAACAGTACAACATCTGGGAGGGAAAATAATAAATCGGTTGGAGTGGCAGAGCACGTCTGAACATCTGTGGGCTCCATCACAGCCACCTTCCAGCTGAACCTGATTGCTCCCTTTCCCTTCACGTTAGTAACCTCTCAGCTCTCCTGAAAAGGAGATGCCAGCATTTAGCAATGCTGCAACAGCTGGAGGGAGACACTTGGAAAAGTGAGTTCCACATGAGGTTTTCCTCCATAGAATTGCTCTAGAGACCGCATTTCTCTTTGGGGGACAGGAGCCTTTCAGCATCTTCAGGAACTCATTGCACTGAGCCAGTTCAGCAGAGACCACAGTCAGGGCACGTGAAAGCTACAAGTGCCTGGTTCTCTAAGGCTCACATCACATCCATTTTCTTATCCAAGGGGAGAACAGGGACAAGGGAAAGTGATAAACAAAGAACACAATGCCATCAGTATGACAGTAGGTGATAAGGGACAGAAGGAGGCAGCTCAGAATTGATGGCCCTTTAGGAAGCTGTGCCTGTGAATTGCCTCAGGCTGAGCTTTGTCACTGACAAGGGCTTAGAGATGATGAGAGAGGAGATGGAATCCTCAGCAATGGAGACACTGGCACTGATGTGTCTCTGGCATCAGCAAGGATGGTGGCAGGTTTCTCTTCTCAGCACAAATGCTGGCAGGAATCCTCATCTCCCTGTACGTGTCTGATCGTCTTCTCTCTGCTCTGAAGGTCAAGGAAAAAGCTTTGAATGAGCCCGAAGGAGGGAAAACATTCACATGGAAAATCTGTGACACACTCAGGACACCCCTCTTCTCTAGAAACCTCCTTCTAAACCATGGGGAGGTGCAACAGCTGCATGAGAATGTTCCTGTTACAACCAATATCGTTACCATTGATATTACCAATTCTATTGGCAATAACAATCTGCATCATTATTCAAATCATTCTAGAAGCTTTTTGCGATAAACCCGTTGTAGTCGAGAAAACCAAAAAGACCAGGAAGGAATCATTCCATTCGACATGGAAAAGGGGCTTGGAGAAAGGGACCTGAGAGAGAGGCATTCATCCCCGGCAGATGCACAAGGACAGGGGAGAAGAGACGGAGACGGAGACGGAGACAGAGACAGAGACAGAGACAGAGACAGAGACAGAGACAGAGACAGAGACAGAGACAGAGACAGAGACAGAGACAGAGACAGAGACAGAGACAGAGACAGAGACAGAGGAGTCTCCTGTTCCCAGAGGAAATAGCAAGGACCCCAGACAGGGGAGAAAGATGAGTGGGGAAGAAGGCCCTGCCCTCCCCAGTGCCCGGCCCTGGCTGTGCAGCAGAGCTCGCCATTCCAGCTGGGGAGGTGAGGATTCCCCTGCGAGCTGAGCAGGAAGAGCCCCTTGCCGTGAGTCAGGCCCCAGAGGCACGGAATGCTCCCAGTGCCAATGGCTCAGGGAGCCACGGCGGCTGCTGCTGGACCAGCGAGAAACCCAGAAGGAGCATTGCAGGCACTGCAAGGACAGCTCACGGCTCTGCCTGCTCCCGCCGCTGCTGCTTCCTCTGCTCCCCCAGAGAGGCGTTTCCAGCAGCTCGGCTATCTCGGGGCTGCGCCGTGCTCCCTCACTCTTCCTCACTCAGCAAACACGCAGCTTGCTCTCGCCATGCACCTCGCCTCTCTCATCCTCACCCTCTTCCTGGGACAGCTCCTGGGTAAGTCCTGGCACTTCCCCAAGGCTTCTTCTTCTTCTTCTTCCCCGCAGGAAACCCTCAACAGCCTTATCAGCACCATGTGGGGAAACAGGACTGAACAGAGGGAAAGGACTGAGAAATATCGGCTCCTCTTTGTGGTTCTGCAAGTGTTTCCTCAAGCAGCTCTTCGATTTGAAAATGGAGAGGGAAACGAGAAGAGAAATCTCAGACCCCTTTACTGTCTTTTGTCTTTCCTGCTATCCATCTCCGTCTTCCTGGCTCTTCTGACCCTCCTGCAGTCACCTCAGAACATCTCAGCTGCTTCTGCAATCCCACTGTCCCCTCCTTCTAATGTGAATTCCCAGGTCCTGTCAAATCTGCCCCAGGCACTTTTCAACTCTCATTTCACTGACATTAACAGGGTGTCCCCTTCTGCCTCCAGGCTCACACAGCTCTGCCACGGCTCCCAGTGCTCTTTGGGCTTGACACACAACCAGGGCTTTTTTCCAAGCTCACCATTGTGTCTATTCAGGGACTGAGGAGCCCTTGGAGGTGACAGGGATGACAAAGCAGGATGAATCCTTTTTCTGTACCTCAGTGGCTACTCAGATTACTTGAGCACACAAAAGTCACTGTTCCCCGGTTCTAGAAGCAGGAGAAGTAGGAGTAGGGACACAGCCCAGCTCTTGTCAGGATCCTCTTGTGTTGACAGCTCTGAAATCCTACCAAAAATCACTCTTGCCTGTCTGTCTGCATAGCTCAGGACTTCCCTGCAGGGAAGACAGCTTTGTCCACCAGAGTTTTGTTCCCGCTTCATCTTTTCTTTCTGTATTATTTCCACGTGGAGCTGCTGACCTTCACTTTCTTGCAGGCACCACGGGGCAGATCACGGTCACCCAGGACGATGGACAAGTCCTCGTGAAGCAGGGACACCCCTTCCAGACCACCTGCAAATACCAGACCAGCGTTTTGAATGGATTGTTCTGGTACGAGCTGCGGCAAGGCCAAGCCCCACAGCTGCTCTCCTATCAAGCAGGCTCTGGCCCCAAGCACAGCGGCCGGATCACCACGCACCTGAACACCACGGGGAAATACAGTGTCCTGAAGGTGGAGGAAGTGCAGCTCTCTGACACTGCCTTGTACCTCTGTGCTGTGACAGACACCCCGGTGCAGGGAGCGTCCCCGGCTGTGCAACAACCCAGGGGAGGGACGGAGGGGAGGTGTCTGTGCAGGGCTGAGGCTGGGCAAGGGACGCTGCGCTCAACCCAGGGCTCACCTGATGTTGCATCCCCACGGCTGTAAAATGCTCTGATGATTTTGCACCACGTGCATTGTAAGATATTTTCGGGAAAGTATTTCTGATTATTTTGACTTATCTCTCTATTGTGCAGTCTCAAATAAAAGAGGAGTTTCCCCTGTGCTTGCCTGGGACCTTGTCCTTGCACACTCCAGCCCTGCTTCTCTTGGTCCCACACGGCCTCAGCAGAGCCCAGGGCTGGGTGTGTGGTCCTGCCTTGGGTGCTCCTGCAGCAGCCCACGGTCAGGGCAAGTGAAAGGTAAAAGTGCCTGGTTCTCTAAGGCTCACATCACATCCATTTTCCTTTCAAGGGAAGAAAAAGGAAAGAGATAAAGAAAGTACAGATTGACACCTATGTGTCAGTAGGTGATAAGGGACAGAAGGAGGGAGCTCAGAGCTCAACAGCCTCTAATTGATGGCCCTTTAGGAAACAGTAGCTGTGCCTGTGAATTGCCTCAGGCTGAGCTTTGTCACTGACAAGGGCTTAGAGATGATGAGAGAGGAGATGGAATCCTCAGCAATGGAGACACTGGCACTGATGTATCTCTGGCATCAGCAGGAATGGTGGCAGGTTTCTCTTCTCAGCACTAATGCTGGCAGGAATCCCCATCTGCCTCTATGTGCCTTATCGTGTTCTCTCTGCTCTGAAGTGCAAAAAGGAAAAAGCTTTGAAGGAGCCCGTAGGATGGAAAACATTCACATGGAAAATCTGTGACACGCTCAGGACTCTCCACTACTTTAGAAACCTCCTTCTAAACCATGGGGTGGTGCAACAGCTGCATGAGAATGTTCCTGTTACAACCAATATCGTTACCATTGATATTACCAATTCTATTGGCAATAACAATCTGCATCATTATTCATATCATTCAAGAAGCTTTTTGTGATAAACCCGTTGTCGAGAAAACCAAAAAGACCAGGAAGGAATCATTGCATTCGACATGGAAAAGGGGCTTGGAGAAAGGGACCTGGGAGAGAGACATTCTTCCCCGGCAGATGCACAAGGACAGGGGAGAAGAGAGAGACAGAGACAGAGACAGAGACAGAGACAGAGACAGAGACAGAGACAGAGACAGAGACAGAGACAGAGACAGAGACAGAGACAGAGACAGA